GTTTATTTAATCTCATTTAATAATAACCGTTTGATGATAAAATGAACGATCAAGATCGGTTCACATAGTTTGTACCATATGGTTGGTTTCTATGAACCAGCCCCTATATATATATATATATATATATATATGTGTGTGTGTGTGTGTTAATATGAAATAATATGACAAATAAATAAAAGTAATTTGGATATTAATTGAACATTTAGAATACTTTAAACTAAACTTATTAAGGTATTGTTTATTTACTTTTTAATAGTTCTATTAAGATAGAGTTTTTGAATCGTTAAGAGATGAATTTTGTTTGAATAAAAGGTATACTTCTTGATGGTTCTAAAACCTTCTGAATGATTTTGTATCGTGAGCTTCCCTTAACCATTCAGCACCATATACTCATTCTGAACAATTACCAAACAATTATATTTCATTTTGCACTATATTATAAGAGCTTGATAATCATTCTGGTCATTTAATCATTCTGCATCAAATCATTCAGCAATTGTTAAACAGTCCCTTAATGTTTTAATGGTCGTGTTCAATAAAAGCATGTCTTTTACTAACTTATTTTTATGTTTCAAATTATTCAAATGGTAATTATATTATAACTCAAGTAAACTATGATTTTCGTTCCTATGGTTTGAGAAAAATTATGATTTTTGTTCTTATGATTTTGAAATTGTGATTTTTTCAGTCATATGATTTGTAAATTTATTACTATTTTTGTCCTTGAAATAAAATATGTTGACTCCTACATTAACTTAGAAGTATTTTAATCTTTTTGATTTTTTTTTTGTTTATTAAGTATATTATTAGTATTTTTGTTTTTTTAATTTAATAAAACTATACATTTTTTTGATAAAAAATTAATGGATAAAATAACATAGAGTAAATTACAAATTCCATCCCTATGCTTATTTAATTAAATGAGTTTTTAATTAAATTTATTATCTCATGTCCTACACAAATATTTATAAAAAGATCATGAATTTAATTAAAATCTCAATCAAAGTTATATACCTATGGTTATGTGGTTGCATATATAATATATAAATGATACCTATATAATGTATTTTAAAATAAATCAAATGGAAGTATAAAGTGACCAAATCACCCTTGATTTAACTTAACTAGGGTGGCATTTGATTTGCATAATATTTTTGGATGAAATAAAATCTGTTAAAGAAATTTGACTTTGAAGAAATTGAAATGGATGTTGTCATGTTAGACTATCTGTTTGGTTGAGCAGACATTGGAATGTAATTTGTTAAGCAATTAGAATCTGTCTGTTTGGTTTATCAAAATGTAGCTTTGGAACTAGAATGAAATATTGGTGACCAAAATGCCCTTTTTGAAAATTTTAACTTTTTTAAAACTAAAAGTACTTTAATAAAATAATTATTTAATATGTAAATCAATATAAAATACACAACCCAAATATACCCCATAAGCCAAAGGACGTTACTAAATCAACGATGATAGGCGGTGGTTTTAGATCGATGGTGGTCCACGGTGGTACAGATCGGTGGTGGTCCGCAGTGGTTCAGATGACGGTGGTCCGCGGTGGTTCAGATCGATGGTGGTCCGCAGTGGTGTAGATGGCGGTGGTTCAGATTGATGGTGGTCAGCGGTGGTTCAAATGGACAATGGTTCAAATCGGTGGTGTCCGACGATGATTCATATCGGTGGTAGTTGCTAGTGGTCGGCAGTGGTTCAGATCGGTGGTGATCCGTGGTGCTTTTAAGTGGTGGTGGTCGGATGTGGTTCAGATAGGCTGTGGGTCAGATCGACGATAGATCAGATCGGTGGTTGTTCATATCGGTGATGTCAACGGTAATTCAAATCGGTAGTAGTTGGCGGTGGTTCAGATCAATGGTGGTATGTGGTGGTTCAGATGGCGATAGTCGACGGTGGTTCAGATAGGTTGTGGTCCATGGTGGTTTAGATGGCGGTGATTGGCGGTAGTTCAGATTGATGATGGATCAGATCGGTGGTGGTTCAAATTGACGGTAGCCGGTGGTGGTTAAGATCACCGATGGTGGTTGGCGGTGGTTCAGATCGGTGGTAGTCGGCGGTGTTGGTCGATAGTGGTTCAGATGGCGATGGTCGGCGGTGACTTAAATCGATGATAGTCGAAGGTGGTCGACAATAATCGTATTGAGTTTTATGAGATTAAGGTATATTGGGTTAAAAACATATTTGGTATTATGAAAACAGAGAATTTCATTCCATCAAAATATCATGTATTTACTAAGGAATATTAAATTCTTTTATTTATGAAATTTGTAGAATTTTGAAGATTCTTTCTGTCAAAAAGAATGACCAAGTGGAGGAATGAAATTTGATCAATGAAATTTCACATTCTAATTCCATAAGATTCCTTTAAAATCTGCGAACCAAACTCCACGTGGGTTTGTAGAGTTGGCACAAAGGACCTAATCCGAAACATTTGTTACAACCACCTCTGTTTTTTGTTTATATGAACATCCCATTGGAGACGCTAACTTAGAATGTGAAGGATGTAATGTGATAATGGTTATAGTTTGTATAGAAATAATCAATTTTTTGTCCTTTACATGTTACAACTGTTTCCTTTTATATAATTTGATACAACGATGGGGACTTGTGTTTTGAACCCTAATTACTATTTACTCCCAATGTTGGAATGTGTTCCCTTTTTGTCACACCTCAAATATTCTAATTCATCAATTTTATACAACTTTTGTTTCTTATGCTGAATCGTCGGGTAAAAGATGTTTACCAACAATCAATTTTGATGGTCGAGAATGTTACCATTAAGATAAATGATGATGGTGATTATTATCAGTAAATACTTACCTAATAAACATTTAATAAACAGCTCCATAATTACATTTTTAGTTATTTTGGCTTATATGTAATTAAAAAAAGAAATACAACTTTTATACATTGATTCTTGGGTAAAATTCAATGTGGAAGCCTTGTCTATGTACCAACTTTACAGGATGATTCCAAAGATTCAGGTGAAAACATCTATGACCATTAAATCCATCATCAACCAATAACTTATTTTTAAATCTCTAAACAATGCCCATTTTATTTCACTCCATTTCTAACTATGAACAAGCTTCATCATTCATGGCAATTCTTCTTTATCCTCATAATGTTCATCCTCTGTGGACTCTATAGAGCCATAACCTTTATTTCAACCAAAGTAGCCAAATCCACCAACACCAAAGTCACCAACCCGACCCCGATTTCGTTAGAGGTCAAGGTCAGACTTCCCACCCGGGTCATCTTTGGAGATGATCAGACCCTTCGAAGATTTGATCCCTCCGAGCTTGTTCAGTTGCCTAAGAACAGGCTCGGAGAGGGATCGTTAGGGACGCTTTACAAGGTCGTCCTTGATTGCGGATTGACGATTACGATAAGGAGAATACGTAAAGAGATTACTAGTGTGGGTGATTTCGAGTATTGGGTCAGGTTTTTTGGTGGTGTTTGTGACGACCATTGGTTGTTGCCGATGTGGTTTGGTTTTTGGTATGGTCGGGAAGCTTTTGTTATTCATGAGTACTTGTGTTTAGGCAGCTTGGAGGAGCTCTTGCATGGTAAATAAAGCTCTCTTAGTTTTACCTCCTTTCCGAATATTCTCATATAGTATCAGAGCCACGGTCTACCACTCTAGCAACTCGACATTCCGAGGCAATTTATATTTTTCTAGCCCCCTTTCCACACTCTTGGCAAAATATGTGACCGTTTGGCCTCCGTTGGAGGGAGAGTAATCTAATGGGTTCCACATTTTCACAACATTGTTACGACATCTGAGATGTGGTATTCCTAGAAACTATAGTGGATAAGCAAATACCATCAAATAAACTATGACCGATTTGATGAATTTTCAGTTAGTTTGTTGATACTATGACATGTAAGGCTTCATCTTTATGGGAACGCTAATTCTTGAATGATTTCATAAATGCAGGCAGCGAAGGCGTTCAATTTACGCCCTTAAGTTGGAAAATCAGGCAGCAAATAACGCTAGGGGCAGCAAAAGCAGTAGCATCGATTCACAGTCGATTTACAGAAACCGGTGAACCTCTTGTTTGTGGGGTGATCAAGTCTTCTAACTTCCTGCTACAAGCCGACTTCTCCCCTCGCCTTTCCAGCTACGAGACACCATACTTTATCTCTCCATCTACAATCATCAGAAGAAACTGCGGCCGAATGGCGCCCGAATTAACAAGGACACGCCGTATCTCCAAGTCTTTTACTCAAGCGTCAGATGTCTACAGTTTTGGGATTCTGATGTTGGAGCTTATAAGCGGGAAGAAACCTTCGGTGACTAACCTGGGACAATATGTAGCGGAGAAAAGAAAGAGAGAGGGGCCGAAGGGGGTTCCTGATAAAAGAATGTCGGATGTCACTGAAAATGTTTCGCTTATGATCATTATCGCAGGGCATTGCCTCTCGTCTGATCCGAAGCAACGGCCTTCGATGGGACGCATAGTGGAGATGATTCAAGCAGCTCTTGAGTAACTCTTGTATGCAAATTATGATGTATGAAATCTTAACAGCGACCAAATGATACACACTCTACTTTTGAATGAAATATACTGGATTTGTTTGGTTTGGTTTTACACGTAGAAGTGATGATTATAAAAAAGCAGGCATGACTTAATTATACAGAAAAGAGATGAATGAAATGTAAATCTTTTCTCATTAGTAATTCAATACAAGTTAGTCTACAAAGGGTTCTTTTCTACCAAAAAAGGTTACTAACATAAAGAAGTGTTCTAGTGGTTTAATATCTAATATCCTTGGAACACTGGTGGCGGTGGTTATGAATGACGGGGACCCATGTGGGGTGGAAGTGATAGAACTGCTGCAGGAGGTGGTAGAACAGGTGGCGGTGGAGGTGGGAACTGGAGAGGTGGTGGTGGAGCCGGAACTGGTGTCTTTGGTAGTTGTTGAACGGTTGATGGTTTAGGTGTTGGTGGAGTAACCTTTGGTGGTTGTGGAACAGTCGTTGGCTTAGGCGGAGCCTTTTTGCGTGTGGGTGGAGTAACCGGTGGTGGTGGTGATGGTGGTGGTGGTTTCGGCTTACGTCTTCGTATGTTCCGGTTTCTAGGTACAACAATAGTAGGACTATATCGTGGTCCACAACCCACAGTCTTGCAATCAACCGCACGGCTGAGCATCGGCAAACAGATCTTATCGGATTTTTGATTTGGTTTCGAGGGAAAGCAATTGTCTTTAATATCCAAAACAGGCTTGTCTTGCTCAGAAAGCTTTTCACATTCTGCGCCAATCTCATTGAAGTAGTTGTTAGAGATGGTAAAATTCGATAGCGACGGCAAACTGCAAATGCTCTCCAACACCTTCCCAGTCAATAAGTTGAAAGAAATGTCAAACTCCTGGACCATCTTCAACCTCTCCAAACTTTTAGGAAGGGGACCAACAATCATGTTGTTACTCACATCGAAGAGCGTCATGCCCTGCAGCATCCCCACCTCCTCCGGCAGGCAACCGGCGAGAAGATTGTTGGATAAAAGACCCTGTTCTAAATACGGCATGTGTCCAAAGCTTTTGGGTATGCACCCACTAAACTTGTTATTAGATAAAACGAGCATGGAAGCAGGCGAATTCCCCATGTTTTCTGGAAGACGGGAATGGAAGCGATTGTTGTTTACAACAATGGCATCAAGTTCTTTATCAAAGAGTTCAGGAGGCAATGCGCCTTCGAATTCATTATATCTAATATCAAGAAACTTCAAAGAAGGGATCCCCAAGATAACACTAGGAAAGGGACCAACGAAACGGTTATCACTGGCATCAAGTTCAAACAAGAGCATAAGATTTGAGAAGCTCTTGGGAAAGATTCCATAGAACCTGTTAGAATGAATATGGAGGATGCCAAGGTCGGTTAACAAGCCAAGCTGAGGAACAAGATGTCCAGCAATGTCTCCAAAATTAAGATCAATCGAAAAAACGGTCTCGGTTTTTGGGTCATCAAGAGCATGGGAACAGAAAACCCCGGTGTAAGAACAGACATCTGGACCTACCCAATCCCCGGTGACGTTTTGTGGATCCGAGTAGATGACCTTCTTCCATTCTTGGAAGGCACAATAAGCCTTCTTAAGCCTAGGATTGGGAAATATCAAGTTGGGATCGACCTCGAGTTTGAAATCATCAGGTAGAGGGTCGGTTTGTCTTAAAGATATTAGCCGTCGACGGCTAACAGTATCGACCTGAACCTTTGTTAAGGCAATGGAAAACGATGAAAAGGAGAAGATGAAAAGAAGGAAGCCTAAGGCTTTTTGCATTTTGAAAGGGTTTAGGAAAACCACCTTTGGCTTGGCCAAAGGTTGCCAAAAGGGGTTCCATAAGAGGAAGGGTTGTTATACGAGGTTGTGAATTGGGAGGATGGTGTTACATGTTGTTGAATGGTGAATGTATCTTTACCACCATATATCTCTCCACACCACAAAATCTGAATCTGGCTTTGCTAGAATCTCGTTAATTTTTCAAAAGAATATGTTATGGCTTTGGTCACTGCCATTTGTTGATTTCGTCCTTTTAGTACCTCCCACTAATAGTCGTCAATTTCCATCCATTAAGTGCCCTTTACATGAGAGGGCAATATGGTCATTTTTACCCTTTAAGTGTGATTAGTCAATTTCCTTGTCGTCACCGTCAACAACCCCCTCCCTTTTTTTGATTAACCTGGATATCCAACCCGTTATGCGAGCCGACTAATCCCAGGACGACTCCCCTTTTCATTTCACCTTCCACATCACCCAAAAGCAATCCCGCCAATGTATCTATTCTCCTCCATTGACGATGGTGCCTGATGCTAATTTTTCTGGTCGTTATAGACAGATAGGAGTAGGTCATTATGGGACGAACGGTTTTTGATCTACAGTTTTGTGGCTGGAGGAACGATGATTCTCTCTTAATCCACATAATTCACCGTCCAGGCAAGGGGGTCCCGTGGAGGAGAAAAGAGTATTTAGGGTTTCTTTGCAAAAAATATGTTAAATTGAAAGAGAAATGATAAAATGACAAGTCAGCCCCCATACCTAATGGATAGGATAGACGGACACTGGGGTCATTAACCAAAACGAAAACAAAACGCATACCACAAGAGTTGATTGTAATAAATGAAGTTTAGGAACAAAAACCAGGAAAATCAACATACTACAGAGACCAAATCCATAATTTACTCTTGTCAGAATAATATCGAAGAGTAAATTAAAAGATCCATCTCCTCACAAGATAAGATAAAAATCTTCCCACCCAAATTCTAACGTACCAATTCTATCAGTCTATCACATGAAAACACATCATCTCAGAAAAAAAAAATTGTGAATTTGAATTAAATAAATTTACAATATATAAAAATATGATCTCTTCATTGGTGGGACACGACAGGGATGATCCCGTGACAGTTTAGGTAACAGATTTTTATCTAAGACAATCTTTCGATTTCAATGAGTGTGCTAACGATTAATTAGAACAGGCATCCCTATAATATATACATCATCAAATTAACTTGCAAAAAGATATGTACATGCAAAAGCAAAAAGCAAAACCAGAGGAAACAAAGAAGGAACTAATTAACAAGGATATCACATAAGTAAATTAATTAACAGATATCAATCGGTTTCGTGATCAGGGGAAGGGGAGTACCAAGCTGGAAACTTGCCTTTTGATCGGAGCAATTGGGTGAAAGAGGAGTCCGGCATCTTCCAATTTTCCTCTTCTTCCATCTCCTCCCAGCTCTTTGGTATACCATCCGGCAGAGGACATTCTCTCCTTGCTCTTGATGTTATGTTATCTGAATCCGAATTACTACTTGATTTGGATCCATTTCGTTGCTGCATTTGCTTTTTTGTCTTGTGAATTTCAGAGATGCCATGTAAGCATCCAATCAGAGATTTTATTCCTCCTGATTCTAATATCACTTTCTCCACCTCTTCCTTTGGCGCTTCTTTCTGTTCAAAATCAATCAGTAAAACAACAGGTATAGTTGATTGAAACTGTTGTGTGGAAAAATTCGATTACCTGGAGTTCTTTGAGCTCGAAGTAGGCTCTCCAGCAGCTGTACGATGAATCTCCTTCCAGTGTTGAACAATAATCTGATAATCAGCAAAATAAATCCTTATTACTAAAATTTACCTTCGAAAAATCAATCTTCATGACTCCAAGGGTTGTTTGGAAGCAGTGATTATCTAAATCAATTTCTAATACTCGGATATAACTTATTTAATATAAATCTATTAGGGTTTTCTCCAATCAACATCCATTAATTTGTCCGGGATACTGCAATTAAAATCATAATAATCACGATTGAATGCGTTGATCATAAGTATGATTATCGAGATAAAAGTAGAATTACTGTATGCGATCCTAGCAGATGGATGCCATTAGATTTAAATTCAGTCAAAGATGGTTTCCAACAAATCAACAAATTAAGTCGCGGGAAAAAAGAGATCGACTACTATACCTGCTAGATCGTTTTCGGTTTTTTCTATCAAAGGAGGATCTTTAACGATTCTATCAATCTTACTTCGGCTAAAAGCTTCAAGTTTAGGTATATACGAGTTGCTTCTGGAAGAACAATAGATCTTCGTCGGAGCTAACCGCCGATAGCTAACGTGAGGAGTTTGAGAAGGCATTGATCTCATCATCATGATGACCGTCGTCGTCGCTGCAATTTTCGGAGTTGTAATAGAGACGGTATTGTGGAAGATATAGGAATTGAAGCGGGAAGCAGGTTGGATAAGGATGGTTGTTTGTTAACAAGACTAAAGTGACTGCTTGTTTATTTAATTACTATGACCGTGCGAGGAGGGCCGTTGGATTAATTGACCTGTGGGTAGGGTGTGGTGTTGTGGAAGGCGGTTGGGTTACGTGGCGTAGGATAAGTCTACGTGCGGGAGCGCCCACAATAGCACCTTTTTTGCCTTTTCAGGAGGTATTCCTTTCATCCATCATTGGGTTGCACTTGCACACAAGTTTCCAAAGGTCGGTGTTTGATGTTTTTGAAGTAAAAATTCAATTTTGGTCCCTAAAGTTTACAATATTTTAAATATCACCCTCAAACTTTAAAAACTAAGTTTTGTGTTCAAAATGGACTCGAGCTTGAGAACTATTAAGCTCAAACGAGCTTGAGAACTATTAAGCTCAAACTCGTTTGAGCTCGAGTAACTCGTCAAAAGCTCAAATAGCTTACACCCCTAATTCCACCGTGCGTCAAGTCAAAACGTTGAATTTCCATTACACAGAAACATTTTCAAGCCAATTCATCGCATCAAGGGAAGAACATTCGGTTCAAACGACTCAAAAAACGACAAAACTACGGTCAAAATGGTTCACTAGAAGGGTACACGGTATCGTCAAACTATGCACATCCTAACTACAAATTTTTGTACAATTAAAACGAGATCAGATTAAGAATTTGAACATCTAGAAACCCAAAGAGAAAACAAGACCATGTAAACATCTAAATCTTGTCATCTGAAAACTTGTAAAAACTTGTGGAAACAATGAACGAAAGACGAATCTATACGGGCGGGAATTGCTTCTTATCGTGAACATCGGTTATGATATCATGCAGCTCGGGAAAGACTGTTATGATCACGAGTTCTAGTAATCCGTACGCAAGTTGCTTCAAACATACATCAGACTGCAAATATGACAACGAATCGGTAACTGTGAGAATATGTGAGACTCCATTAGATTACTGCCATCAAGGAGAGAAGGGAGGTTATATATTACCTGGAGAAAATAATATACGTCTTTTGCACAACGCTTGTATTGGTTATGACCGATCAAGCTGACCAATGTAGAAGGTGCTCCGTCTAAAACGAAGAAGGGTGTATTAGATATTTGACAAATCTAACGTCAAAAACGATTTAAGAGAAAAAGAGATGAATTAATGCTCACTAAAGATCATCTTTTTGACATCGCTAGCCCTTCGAGCAGCCTCCAGTTGCTCCTCGAACGACCCTTGTTTGTTCACCCTACTGCTAGATGGATGACTTGCAGTTCGCGGAGAATCTTGATCAGATTGAGAACCCGTTTGAGTTTGAGCATTTAATCTCGTGAAAAACACACCTTCCGGCCACAAAACCTAACACAAAACCCCATTATTATAACTACTAATTACAGTTCAACCACCGATTCCTTTTGTAGTTACAAGATTTTATTGCAACTTACATCTTGGATCCAACGGATCCCGTGAGCCACGATGTCATCTCGCCTGAGCCAATGTATTTGGCGTAAGAGCCAGTCATCGATAGCATCTTCCATCATTAACTGCAAAATTTGCTTTGATATCCAAAACACCTGTCGTCTGCATAAACAACGATAATTGTCTGAAAAATTGACAATTCCAACCCCACTACAACTCGAGAAGCTATTGCTCTTATACCATTCATAAAACGTCAAGCTCAAAGCAGCAGACTGGCCCAATAGTCTATAATCAACGATCAGGAGCCTCAAACGTTACATTATCCCGCCCAAAGTAACGTCTGGTGTATGATGTACATAATATACACACAAGCCAAAAGTGACTAACCTTAACCAGCCTCTTCGGTTGAGTTGAAATATCTTGTCCACCAAATTTAGCAACGGAACACTCACGTTAGGTGGTGTCCACTGCAACGAAATACAAAAACAAAATATTCAGACAAAAGAAAACAAGGGCTAAAAAAAGCGATTCAGAAATTGCTTCATCATGAATATGAAACAGAGAAAAACTAAGCTTTTGATCCTAAAATCATAAGCCAGATGATTTCTTAAAGCTACAAAAAGTCATTTGCACCTTAGGTTTGTTCTCTCGAGTTTGGATTGCAGACAATGCACGTTTCGGGTGGGTTTGGTACGTGGACGGGTCTGGACTAGCGAGAGAGTGAGGTGGGCGGTTGAAAGAATTGTGGAAGGTTTGAGGGTTTTAACTTTACATGGGTAGTTTAGTAATTTACCAATCTTGTGAAAGTAAAAACTCATTGCAAAGAGATTAAATAGAAAAAAAACCTCTGCTGGCACACCGAGCGGATCTTCCAGTCGGTTGGAAGTTGAAGGAAAATTTGCAGCCAGATTGAGTATTTCGGATCGCACTCCTCTTTTGTCCGTATCTAAGCTTCTTATAAGTTCATCATGCTTGACAACCCTTGGTGGAAATCCTTTCGAGTTTAACTCGCTGTCAGAATGCCACCCGTTAAGTGGTGCACTAGAATCCGTCTCATCATGGTCAATTGTTTCCTCTTTGTCATGGTCCTCGTTATCAGAAAGACTATTAGCCGACTCTGAGGTAGTTTGTCTCGTGAAGGAATTACTAAGTTCATCTGCTTTCCACGTTAAACTTCTGCTTGTAGCCGAAGACACGGGTTCATAAGTGAAAGATGGGCCAGCAACTTTCCGCATCAAACCATCTGAAACGCCTTTGAATTGACGGACGATATCGTCCACAGCGTCATCCACATTGACTGTTATACCAAAGACAAACATTTAGACATTTAAACATATTTTAGAAATATATGTAGAGCTACAAGCTTAGAGCCTACAAGATTTAGGCTATGTTTGGCAAACTAGCTGATAATTAACTGGTGGCTGAAAAGCTCTGTTGGTTGATAAGCTAGCTGTTAGTTGATATACTAGTCATTAAACTAGTCATGTTTGTGAAAAAGACTAGTTTATAAGCTAAACGATAATGTAAATGACCTAAAAGGACATGTTGAAAAATTAATTGGAAAAGTACAAGGGACATAATCGGAAAAAGGTGGAAAAAAGCCCTGAAGCTTAATAAAACGCTACATGGAAAAAGCTAGCTAATGGGTAACAAAACGGCGCTTTTTCAATAAGCCCAAAATATAAGCTAGCTTATGGCTAACCGAATGGGACTTCTCCAATAAGCTCAAAAAATAAGCCAACTTATGGTTGCCAAACATGGCCTTCAAAGACACTAGGAAAAATGATGATCGTGTCAAAAAATGCATGAGATGTGGTGACGTATATGACGTTATAGCATGCAAAAGTTAAAGATAATAAAGCATCCTCGTATGACCCTAGTTACAAGATTCTATCTGCCTCAATAAGTTCATTTTATCTGTAAAAACGATGTTTTTCGTCGTCTAGAATCAAACAGCAAACTGAACACAGACAACGTCCATACATGGGAGCGAATTCATTAAACAAACAAATAACTCGTATGCAGAATCCAATCGATGAAGAGCAACGCACCTGCTAAGGTTCTCATTACCGAAGAAGACTTCCCAAACGAGTAATTCTGCAGTAACGACAAAATAATCAGCTTGAACTAAGAATTAAATCTGTGATGGTAGCAAATCTACAAAGAAATAACCACAAGGGTGGTGCCTGATTGGTTTGAGCTTGACTCCAAAGGTCAAAAGAGCCAGGAGGTCCCATGTTCAAATCCAAGGAAACAAAAATCCCCTTGTGGCCACGGAGGTTCAAATGCTGTGACTCCGGGCTACGTGCAAAGCAAGTGGTTGCCCTGGGATTAGTCGGCTTGCATAGCGGGTTGGATATCCAGGTTAATAAAAAAAATATACAGAGAAAGAGAGTCACCTTTGAAGAAATACTCAAAAAGTCCCATACTTCGTGTTGCTCCGCAACGTTAGCTATAGACAGAAGATCCTACGGGGAACAAAATGCTTCCAATATTAAAGTTTCATATATTAAGTTTCGCTATTTTATCACTACAACAAAATTGGGTTTATAGGACGCCAAAGATGTCTAAATGTCCAAAAAGACTGCTTTATAAGACTGTTTTGAGAAGTGCCATATGAACACATCTTTTTATAAGAAACTTCTGAGAATAATGTCATATAAAAAGACTAATAAGACGCTTTATTTCAAAATTCTCCTATAAAACTTGTTAGGACACTTCTGAACTTATTGTAACACATTTATACAGGATGCATTTGTTTGGTTCTATAAACTTAAATCCTTAAGCAGACATTTAGACAGAATATGGCATCCTATAAAGCCGATTTTCTTGTAGCGTATGGAGAGAGACAGACAGAGCTGGAACCATACCTGCAGATATTTATCGAGCTGAATGCAGCGCTGATGTACAAACGCGTCCTCTGTGCTTGACGAAAATATTCTTTTAGGAGGCAAATGTAACGTATAGTTCGGGATGTCCTTAAGTTGTCGATGCAATCTCTCAAAATTCCGGTATCTACAGACGAAAATGCACATAATTTGTCTCTGGAAAACCATGGAAGGTAGCAATTTAGTATAGCTACTTGAGAAGGCGTCAAGAACGATACCTTCTTTTTACAAACCAAGTGTTGTTTTCAGCAGCTGTTACTGCAATTGAATAGACCGCAAACGATTTCGAACCAAGTTTCTCAAAGTACGCTCCTAGAACCTGCAGAAAGCACATAGCACTATAAATTTATAATTGAAGAAAATCTCGCCATAGTTGAAAATGCGTTTGTCTACGTTTTTTGCGAGTGGCATCCCGAGTGCCATGATTGAGTTGAATATATAAACAATGTTAGATAACAATGAAACAAACATGAAAGAGAATGTTGTTACCCGACACTTAAGCTTCGGAACATATCCTTCAATGCGTAATACTTTATCAAAACCAGCATTCGTATTATGTACATCACGTTTGCCGACATTTGCACTATAAAACTCTGTGATAATCGATCGGCTGACTTCTGGATATGCGGTTTCAATCTGAGTTTGATTGTTCAAATCAGAAGCGCTGTTTGATTTTCTAAAGATATTTTTACTTCCACCACCAACTATAGATTTTTCTTCAACTCCTCCTCCATCAAAATTCGATGCGTTACTTTGATCAACGTCAAAAAGATGGTCTTTCCGTTGACCGTCTAAATGAGGCTTTGGTGGGATCCCTACGCTGGTTGAAGTCTCGAGCTTTTTGGGCGATATTTCCTTTCCCTTAGTTTGCTTGATTCCACCGTCTATTCCAACCCCGGCTGATGTAGAAGACTGTACTCCTTTAGCAGCATTCTTCAGAGCTTTCTTCTTATAGTTTCTTCCTTTGGTCCACATATTTTCAAGATTTTCCGGCTGAAGAACCTCTGTCCTTCTCTGGGTTGCTGCCTCAAGAATTCGAGCCCAATCAGCAGCAGCCGGATGCTTTGTTTCTTCTTGAATTAAACCAGTAGAGATATTACAAGATTTAACTAAAGGAAGTGCTATCTCGTTATCATGCCTAGAAAGTTTCACATCACTTTCGTGACTATAAGAAAGATCGGGCCTTTTTGCAGAGCTTGTAGCAACGGCTTGATCCTGTTTATGGCCTTTAGAATTAGCCGATTGATCTTCATCCGCCTCTTTCCCTCCCTCGTTAGCAATGAAAATAAGCTCAAGCAACTCGTTGATATATGCGGGACTTGCAAATCTCATCACAGGTTCCATAACCAAACAAGCTAAAAGCTCTCGGGCAATGCAACGAACTAAAGCAGACTGAGCTTCACGTGGTTTTAGGACTACAGCCACAACAGCACCCATAATCCGCTTGAGAAACTGTAAAAAAAAGAAGCATCAGAAAGCATTCATTCACATAAAGATAATCGTTAAGACTTGTTATTTTACATCAAAACACTCCACTCACACCTTGTACTCACTCTCGGGAGATATCACAGCGGGATGAAGCTCCTTAGAAGCCATTAGATGATGTTTCAACCGTTCATCTCTTTCTTCTGACGATAATGTTACCATAACCTCCACACCGATAGCAGCTTGGTTCTTTCTAAAAAGCTCTAGGTGGACCCCAACTAGATCAACTACATCCCTGAAACGACATAAAAACTCTGGGAACTTTACTCTAGAACGAAACAATTCACTATCCTTTTAAATTTTACTGAAAAAGGCCTACTAAGGGTGCGTTTGGTATGCAGACTGCACCAGACAGGACGGGACTAGATGGGCGACAGTGAGGTTGGCGGGTGAACAAAATTTTGGAAGGTTTTACAGTTTTAATTTGACATGGGTAGTTAAGTAATTTACCAATCTTGTCTCATCTTTCTGGGTTTTGTTCCACCTATTTTGGTTAGTCCTGTTTGCAGTCTAATGTCATGCCAAACGAGGGACAACAAGTTTTTGTTTCGTACTGTCTCGTCCTGTACCGCATACTAAACGCACCCTTAGGTGTTCTAGACATACCCACCTCGTTAACAAGTCAACAAGGTTAATGTTCTTCACTCTTGCGGATATTTCAGCAAGAACGTCCATAATGATCGCTCGAATCAGCTCAGGTGCCTCCTTATCTGACGTAATATCTGAATACCACAGATCAACAACAAAGTCTTGCAAAAGCTTGTTAATAAAATCCTCCATAGCAGCCTCAACCACCGGTGAATCGATTTTCCGCTTCCATTTAGGCGGGGGAGGCAACGTGGAAAGCCTTGAATCATTCACAGACAACTGCTTCTTTTCCAAGTGTGACAAATACGTCTCTGGCCGGGTTTTCCTAATCTTCCAACGGAATTCAACTTCGTTTAACAGAATCCGTGATCCCGAAACCAAAAGTATAGCTATAGGAACGTTCATCCACATTGATTTACTGGTGTCTGTAATAATACAATAAACAATTAACATTCAGTTTACTGATTGACTACCCTTCTAAACCATCTTACAAAGTTTTTCTTTAGTTGCAAAAAAAAAAAAAGACTACGGGTTGTTTGTTTACCTCTTAATAGTTCCATTAAAAGGCAACCTCTGAATTAAGAGGTGAATCTTGTCTGGCAAAAAAAAAAAGTCTGCCTCTTAATGGTTCTAAAACCCTCTGAATCATTTTGTATCATGGATCTCCCTTAAGCATTAAGAGCCCTAATTTCTTTGTACACAAATACCAAACAAATATTTCATTTTGCACTATATCATGAGAGTTTCTTAATCATTCTAACCACTTAATCATTCTGCACTAAACCATTCAGCAATTGTTAAAAAGCCACTGCATTTTGCAGGAATAAACAATTTTGAGCAAAAAGTTGGCATTTGCAGTTTCAAGATTCATCTAAAATCACTAATCCTTGCAACTTAACTCTGTTTCACATTAATTCACATGATAATTTTAGGGTTCCAATTAAAAACCAAGTTCAGCCTCCAAACCAACAGAGTTAAAGAATCTTGATTCTGATCAAGAAACAAAAACCCCATTTAGAATATACAAAGAAAGACAGATATCAACATATACAAATACAAGCAATCAAGCAACGAACTTACGAGCTAAGAAGTAAGAGACAGCGAAGATACAAAGAGCCCACCACACAGTACGAAGCTTTGCTTCTTCGATCAGATCCTGTAAAGTTTCCATGGCCTTCATTGAGTCTAAACCCTAATACCTAATTGCCAAAATTAAGCATTAAACAAAAGAAGAAGCTAGTGGGTGGGTGATGATGAATCAGGAACTTTATTGAGCTGAAACAAGTAGAGATTCGATTTTGGGAAGGGGGGGGGGGGTTAGATTCAAGTGATGAGAAATTGGTATTTAGGATCAAGAAAACAAGGAGAGTGGTTTTCGTATTGGATTTGCGTGGAATGAAAGGAGAGGCAAAATCGTGGTTAGATGAACAGAAAGAACGATGTTATGGGGAGGTGTGATGATGATGATTAAGGCAACAAGAACAATAATTAAAGGGATCGTGCTGGTTGTGTCCTGTTCGATCGACTGCGGTATCCCCGATTTCCAAGCTTTTGGTTTGTTTATTTGGTTCCAAAGAATTTAGGAGTTGTATGGATTTACGATCCTAAAAATAAGAAATCAGATAATCAATCAATTAATATAATAAAAGTAAAAACTTGATTACCGCAATCTTAACTGGTTTTATACGAAACTTTTTCAACAACGCTAGTATGAGCAGTGATGGGTTCAGGATTTTTGCCTGATGAGACATCTTTAAGATAGATTAAAGGCATGTAAAGTCGTTCGATGTGTTTTTAATCTAATTTCACCGTTTCAAGAGATTTTTAAAAGGTTTTTGTTGATTTTGAATAATTTTTAAGGACTTTTTCTGTCTTTTTGGTTGATTTCGAGAGATTTTTTTGATTGACTTCGAGATACTTATTTTTGCTGGTAGGGGCATAAGAGGAAAATTATTGGGTATATTCTTATATGTTAGATTCGGACACGAATATGAGCGACATTTTTTATCTCATTCAGCGACGACTAAGACTACATGGTCTTACGAATACTTATGAATAAATTCAGAAATCATATGTAAGAACTATAATATTTCGTAATTTATTGTGTATTTAAGCAAAGTCGTTTCACTTCTTTGATAATTACATTTTTAGGTACTCAATCTGGTACAGAGATTAGTGTCTTTTGTTTCAAACAATTTAGGAGTTCTACTGTTCATGAATCAGTTTATATGAAAAGTAATATTTATCTGGATAATTAGCTTTTTGTTAAGATTTTTACTTGATTATTATCATCTTAATGATAATTATAATCAACTTACTTAACTATTTTAAACAAACTAGAAGGGTACTCACACAATGCAGCGAGGTACATCTTGATTTTAATATTTTTAATTTTATTATTTATCTCAGTCAATGTTATAATATGGTCTTATGTGAATTTGAGAAAAAACGATGTTTTTATTTTTTAATAAAATATAAATTTGAAGATATCATAAAAATTTGACAAAAATATATCGATATTAGTATCAAATTAACTATTTAAAATTCCTCATTTTTTGTGTAATTTTTTAATTCAAAAAATTTTCATTATAATTTAATTTAGGTACAATAACGAAGTAATTTATATTTGGTTCAATAATATAATTTTCTTATAAAGATAATAATTAATTATTTTGTTAGAACTCGATAACTATCCTAATTATATTCTATGTCTTTTATATTTTAAAATGAGATGCTTATCCTCTATTATGTTTATCCGTAGTTAGTTATACGAATTCAAATATCGAGCTTTAGAAAGTTGTATTTATGCATAATTTACTTGTAATCTTGAATTTTAAGTAATATGCATCAATATACAGTACTTTATGTATAAAAAATAGTTTTTAAAAATCTTTATCAAATGCTTTATAATATAGTATAGATCATTTGAATCGAAATGTTATGTTTAAAATTACATCAAAAAACAAAATATTATTATTATAAATAATTAAATGTACACGATAATAATGTATTCTAGAATGTAGTTTTTTTTTAACCCAAGCAAATACTTTAATTATATCTATTTTATGTTATGATCTTGAATTTAAAAAAAAAGAAAAAAATTTATTTGTGTTCTCGAGACCGACGGAAAGGGAAAGGAATGTAAGAAAATAAAGTTTCATGCTCTTGAACAAGAAAAAAAGGAGAGGAAAAATGTCATTATAGTTTACAAGATATAAGAAATGTAATCTGATGGGTTGTTTGCTTACCTCTTAATAGTTTCATTAGGGTGCGTTTGGTATGCAGACTACATGGGACAGGACCGGACATGCCATGGACAAAAAAAACATGGAACAAGGTGAGACTATTTTTAATTTTAGTGGGACAAATCTTGATATTTCTTGTTCCACCAAAAAAGGTGGAACAACATGAGACTAAAGTTAAAATGACAATATTTTGATTGATTTGTTGTCATTTTAGAATCATTATATGATATAAAATAACAATGAACAACATTTAAGGGTAATATGGTCATTTTAATAGTTTTGTCTTGTCCTGTCCTAGTCGTACCAAACATAGGACAGACAATTAGTCTTGTCCTGTACCGTCCAGGCTGTGTACCAAACACTACCTTAAGAGACAGATTCTGAATCGTTAAGAGATGAATCTTGTTTGGCAAAAAAAAGTCTGTCTCTTGATAGTTCTAAAACTCTTTGAATGATTTTGTATCTTGAGTCTCCCTTAATCATTCAACGCCTTAATTCCATTGCAAAAAATTACCGAACAATTATATTTCATTTTGCACTATATCATGAAAACTTCTTAATCATTCTGACCACTTAATTATTCTGCATCAAACCATTCAACAACTACCAAACAACCCATGAAGTGCTATTTGAACCACATTTTCTTAGATCTTAGGCATCATGCACCAAAATCTAATAGAATATCACAATCAAGTCTTACATATCAAAATTTAATAGAATATCGTAAACTGTCAATGACTATATATAGTTATTAATTGGATGGGTATTGGATGACCATTGGATTGGATCAGTTTGATTTTACTAGATTTTGGACCCATCATCCAAAAACCAAACGATCCAATTTGACCGATGTTGAAATTTTGGATCCAATCCGATCCAATTACAATTGAAGATAACTTTCTGCACACCCCTAATTTCAGGTATACTTGCTAACAACCTGCTTTAACTCTCACTAAGTTCATGACATATCTCATAAATCATATAAAACATCACATCATGTCATAACAATTGGATAAATTTATGTGTTTGTGTGTATATATCATCATCATGTGCATGCATGCATGTAAATCATATCAATCATAAGTCAACAAACGTTTACTATGTGGATCAAACATCAACCACTTCATACATGGGTATTTCTTGCGATACATGTATTGGTTCATACATCTTACATCATTCCATACAATACAACGGTACATCGTGACGTATATTGACCCATACGTCATTGGGTTTTCGCATAACCCGTCTCATGATAGGTTGAGTGACCGCAAAAGTCGCATTAAATGCGAAGTAGCGGGCACATTCGGATGTCCACAAGGTTATCTTCAGAGACATCCCCAATAACTAAATTCTAACAACTTAGAGGTTGTTTACCGAAATGCTTACACGGTAAGTACTTACCTATAGGAGTCAATACTAAAATTTATTTTGATGAGTAAGATTTTAGTACATCAAAACGTATTGAATGCAACAATTTACCGGGTAAGCGCTTACGTGGGCAAGAGTCGTAATCTTCGCTTACCGGGTAAGACTCTCCATCCTTCTCATCGCTTTTACCCTGTAAGATTCTTGGCCCTTGTCATGTTCATCCGATAAGGAAATTTATTCGGTAAGCACTTTCCAAATAAGCGTTTAGTAAACGGCCCCTTAGTACTTCCAACGATCAAAAAACCACTACTTTTCATAAAAGTTGGTTGCAGTCTTGCGTTTGTGATGTTCTTTTAAATAAAAGATTTGTCTTTCATTCTAAAACACTTCCACTTGAGCATTAAAAACTCTTTATCAAGTTATTGAACCTCCATTCAAGCATTCAGAGCTTTTAGATCTCACATTTAACACTCAAACAATCATCCAAGAATTTCTTTGATCAAATCAATTGTGTTCTTCAATATTCATTTATTTTTTGAAAGGCAAAAAGGATGCAACACAAGGACTTCCCACGAAGTCAGCCTTCGCTAAAGTAAAGATGAAATTCATCTGGTATCAAGGTTTAAGTTCTACTGTAATTAACTTGACTTAATGCTTACCTCCATTTGATATGCCGTGGCTGAGATTTTGAGGATAGCTTGTCGTAGTTGCATTGTGGCTTTGTTCTTCTCCGGATTGAAGCAGAATCTGAGTAAGAGATCTGTACAAAACTGTATATCGGATCACTGTTCAGTTCATGTAGAATCATCATAATTCATAAAGTTGTATAAAAAAAAGTCTAAATTTAAACTAAATGAGCATAAATACAAATTATGAACAAGCTTTACCAGGAGCTAAGCAAATTGGACATCACACGCTGCTATTCATTTGTATTTATCACAAAATTATGCCTTCTCTGGGGGAGACAAATTTGTCCAAATCCCCATCTTCATCAAATTCCATTCTCTTTGGTTTCTGCACAAACATTCCAATATCAATGAATTACTAGCAATAAAATTAGTAAAAATGTGACTATTTTTGTTGAATAAGAATTCTTACCATAAGAAAGGGTGTACAACTTTCTACTATCTCAAGATTCTTCGGCTAATTAGCAACCCTTAAACAAGGAGCATGAATGGCAAGTAGAATCCTACAAACCACTGCTTAAACGCCATCCTCGAATGACCTCTCCCCAACCACAATTATATACCATTTTTACCATAACATAGGTGTTCAAAAGATCTATACTCTAAGCTGCTTTGAAAGAAAAGTGCCCTCCATTCAGTTGGAGATATCAAGTACAATCAAATATCATTTTCCAAAAACTTATCGACACTTTCTATCCCTTCAATCAACGAATAATAGGTACTGTCATCAGGATTAATGCCTTTACCGACCATTTCTTTGAGGAGCTCTTCCGCATGATGCCCCTCCTTGTTTTTGCATAATCCTTGTATAAGAGAGTTGTAGGTCACCCGTGTAGGTCTGCAACCTCTATTCAGCATAACATCCCGAACCATAAGGGCCTCCTTCATATCACCTCTCCTGCTATACCCACTAATAAGAGTGTTGTAGCTGATATGATCAGGCTCAATCCCTCTTCTCTTCATCTCGTCAAAAAGCTTAATAGCTTCTTCAACTCTCCCTTCCCTACAATGGCCCTGCATTAGAGTATTATATGTCACTTCATCAGGATAAACCTTCAGCCTATCCATCTCCTTCAAAATTAAAAGAGCCCGTTCCATGTTTTTGTTGGCACAGTGACCATCAATCAGCGCGTTAAACATCACATTATCTGGCAACACCCCTCTGTCAATGATTTTGGCAAACAAGTTATCCGCTTCTGTCATTCTATTTCGCTTGTTCAGTACGTTTATTAGGGAAGTGTAGGTTACGTGCGTGGGCTGAATCCCTTTACTTAACATCTCATCATGGAGGTCAAAAGCCTTTTTTGCTTTGCCAGACCTACAATATCCATTGATCAATATGTTATATGTAATGGCATTCGGAACCAATTGTTCCTCTCCCATTTCTTTTATCATATCCTCAGCTTCTGACTCCTTACCTTCAAAAACCAATGCATGAATTAGTGAATTATATGTAGATACAGATGGTCGTATGCCCTTTCCAACCATTTCATTCCTATAATGAAACGCCATTTCAAGATTCCCTTTATTGCAATATCCATCTATCAAAGCGTTATAAGTTATGGCAGTCGGTACTATCTGCAACTCCTCCATCTTAACCAAAAGATCAGATGCATCCTTGAACCTTCCTTCTTTACACATCCCACTAGCAAGGGCTCCATAACTATATGTGTCCGGCTGAATGCCTTTTGCTTTCATTCCCTCAAATACCCTCTGAGCACCATCAAGATTCCTCTTCATACAGTAACCGTTGATTAGTGTATTATAAGTAATCGCATTTGGTTTCAACCCCATTGTCTCCATGTTCCCCACAAACTCCCTCGCCTTCTTCAACTTCCCTTCTTTACACAAAAGGTTAATCATTATGTTATAAGTGCACACGGTCGAATTAATCTTCAATCTGAACATCTCAGCAAACAAAATCCAAGCAGTCTGTGTATGGTTAAATCTAAGAAACAAGCTTAATATATGATTACAAGTCTCAATCTTAGGCAACACCCCTTTCTGTTTCATTAAGTAAAAACACTTGAACGCCTCATCAGCTCTCTTCAACTCACAGAAACCCTTGATCCATAAGTCAAACATTATCGAACTTGATATGCCTAACCGCTCACGGGCATCAACTAACCCGTCGAACACATCCTTATAACTAAACCTGCGTGAACTGATTACTGTTTTGATGAATTGTGAAGATAGTTTAGGTGAGGGTAGCTGACAGATAATGGCGATAGATAGACAATAGCATTCAACATCGGTATTGCTCGGGTTGAAATATTCAGTGAATTTGAGGACGAGGTCAGGGGATGCCCGGAGGTCGTATAGGGCACTGGAGATTGTGGTGGGTGTGAGGGTGTCTGATATGTATTCGATGAAATGCCACTGAGAACAAGAGATTGATTTCTTAAGAGATTGCGGGGTTACAGGCTGGATGTGTGTGGATTTAGTATTCGTAGATTCGGTTTCACTTATAGAAAGTGAAGAGATGTGCAGGGTGTACTGACCTTGAGTACTACCGAAAATGGTGATGCAATTAAGGCGTTTCAATGTTCTGAGATCGGATAACTTGCAGGATTTCATGACGTGATTCCGGCAGAATCCTTACTACTCGCACAGAGAGAGAGAGAGAGAGAGAGAGAGAGAGAGAGAGATTTTGCAACGGGCGTTGAACCCCTGTTCTTCCTCCGTCACGGCGGCTTCAATGGCGACGACGGTTGAAGATTGTTTGTTTAAAGTTTAAACCCCTAAAACTAAGGTTTTAACAACTTACCCCATATAGTTTGTATTTTAAGACAAGTAAACCCTGTAATTTATCATAAACAATAATTTTCGTCCCTGTAGTTTTCTGAAATTACGGTTTTTTCCCTGAACCTTTTAACATTATGGTTTTTTCTCTGGTTTTACGAAATTGCATTTTTTTCATATTGTAGTTTGCAATTTCTTTCCGTGAAACCCTGAAACTAATTTCAAAAGACTAAGGGGTCGTTTATTAAACACTTATCTGATAAGTGTTTACGGGTAAAATTTAACACTATTATGTACTTACCGGGTAAGATTTTAGTTCATCAAAACAACATTCGGTGTATAATCGATGTAAAATTTAACACTACTATGTAGGGCTGTAAACGAACCGAACGTTCAACGAACCGTTCGTGAACCGTTCGGTGGGAAGTTCGTTTATGTTCGTTTATTTAATAAATGAACGAACATGAACAAATTTTTTTGTTCGTTTAGTTAAACGAACGAACATGAACAAGAGTCTCGTTCGTTCATTTATGTTCGTGAACGTTCGTTTATTTACCGTTCGTTTATTTACCGTTCGTTTATATATTAAATTTAATATATAATCTTTTATTTATTTACTTTGAATTCAAATAATATTTATTTATGTTCGTCTAACTCGTTCGTTTATGTTCGTTCGTTTACGTTCGTTTAGTATGTTAATGAACGAACATAAACGAACACGAACACACCTGATTTCTAAACGAATGAACACGAACACAAATATTTTCGTTCATTTACCGTTCGTGTTCGTTCGTTTGTTCGGTTAAGTTAAACGAACGAACATGAACAAGTCTCCGTACGTGTTCGTTCGGTTCATTTACAACCCTACTACTATGGTATTGTGTGGTGCTTGTTGAAGCCGTATACGGAGACCGATGACTTTTGTTGTGAGACTCATCTAGAGGTCAAGTAGACATTAGGGTCATTGTGGGGATCTTGCGGTGGTACTCATTGGAGTGGTATACGGGGGTTCGTGTCCCGAGGTGGAACTCGAGAACGTTGACAAGTGGCTTATCTTGTGTTCCCGCCACATTTAATGAAAACCGGTCTCCCTAGTCATTGAAAAGTGTTGTTTTCGGTACTTCGTTACCCATGCTTTCAATGTTTTGAATATATAGTTTCTCTTTAAAACTGGTGTTTGGATTTTGCGCTTTGCGCTCGGGTAAGTTTGCATATTGGTTATTTATCCAAAACAGGTATTTGCATTGGAAATGTTGAGCTTTGTAAATATAATTCCTTTTCAAGATTCGAGCTATAAAGGATATGTCGTTGTTTAAAGAAAATTGTTCATTTTAACTGTTTTATATTATATATGATAAAACTGTTTTAACTCACTAGACATTAAGTTTAACATTTTTTATTGACATGTATATCAGGTCTTAATGGGATCTCAACAATGTTTGGAGTTGTGTAGAGGTTCGAAGGATGACTTTAAAGGCGTCATCTGGTTTTGAAGATAACAGAACTGATGTTGTAGTAGCACCACATATATTCTAATTCTATTTAGAAATTAGATAATCCTGTTTAGAACTCTGATACTCATCTGGCCCTCCATCACATGTAAACTTTATGTGTTTTTGTATTAAACGTTTGAAGTAGTTTGAAAGTTTTAACCTTTTTGTCGTTTTCTAAATTTGAGGGTGTTACAGCAGGTGTTGAACCCATATTGTTCTTCTATCTTGACGACTTCAATGGAGACGATGATTCTGTTTAAACCACTCATATAGTTCGTGTTTTTATGACAAGTGCCCCTGTAATTTATCATAAACTAATTATCGTTTGTGTAGAAACTAATATTAATTGTAGAGGTGCTGAAAAACCTGATCAACTCAATCCAATTCAACACGAAATGACTTAACCGATGTCTAATCGAGTTGTAAAATTTTCAAACCGTAGGTATTGGGTTCTACTATTATTTGAACCCAACTCAATTCGATGAACCCGATATCCTTGTAGGAATGGCAACGGGCCGAGTATTGGTATCCCCGTCCCCAAAACCGATAGCAAAAACCATCCCCGTAACCGCCCCGATCCCCATCGGGGATCCCTATCGGGTCCCCACGGTTTTCCGATCCCCGTTGGGGAACCCGTTAAGGATAAAAATCATATTTTCACCGTTAGTTATACCCGAAATCGATCTGGAAAAAATTACAATATGCTAATTTTCACAATTAAAAATAAATTACAATGTTTTTTAAAGATGTAAGTTTAAATGTCTCAAACATAATCGAACCAATTACAAACAATGTATTAGAACTAAACAGAAATTCAAATATCATACAACTAAAATCACGATTTTAGACAAATAAACTAGATTTTTTCGTGAGCTTTATTTGGGTTGTTGAGATAAAATGGATAAAAGTCTTTTAAATTTTAATGTTACTATTTTCTTTTAATGATATTATATATATATATATATATATATGTGTGTGTGTGTGTGTATATATATATTAAAATTAATATATATACACACATATCGGGCCGGGACGGGCCGATGATCACCGTCCCCGTCCCCGTTAAAATCCCCGAATTTGTCCCCGATCCTTCCCCGTCCCCGATCAGATGTCCCCGAACCCGGCCCGAAAGTTTTGGTTTTCGGTTTTCACCATCGGTTTCGGGTTTTTTTTGTCATCCCTATATCCTTGTATTTCTTGGATTTAATATGGTTGTTGAGTTTCGATTAATATATATACATTAGACAATTACAATATCACGTACTCTCTTCATATACACGTATTTTCAATCTATTCTCCATCTTTATATAATTCATTCGTATATATGTTCAACAACTGTAAATATATATAAATTGAGAAAATTAATTGAATGTAATAGATGTAAGATTTAAGAAGAAAAGGTAAGTTATATCAAATGGCTGATGATGACAAATAAATTATGATTAGAGAAATAACATACTCAAAGTTAGAAAAATATTTTAATGTACCAAAGTATAAACCCGACCAACCCGTAAGGTTTGGTTTGGGTTGGGTTAAGATTTTCCAAGCCATAAGCAGTAGGTTGGATTGTTCTAATGTCTTCAACCCGATCAACCAAACCAATGAACACTCCTAATTAATTGCATTAAAATAACTCTAATTTATGTTTGGTCCATGAACTTTAAACCGACCACAAAAAGTCTTAACCTCTAATTTTTTTTAAATCATTTTAAGTTACTATAACAAAAAACTGAATATATCACCATTAAACCAATTTAAGGGGCCGTTTACCTAAATGTTTATCCAGTAAACACTTACCATTAAGAGTGAACACTATAATTTATTTTATCGGGTAAGATTGCAGTACATCAAAACATATCATATGCAACAATTTACCTGGTAAGCGCTTACCCGGGTAAGAGTTGTCACCCTCACTTAGGTAAGACTCTCCATTCTTATCATCGCTCTTACTGGTTAAGATTCGTGTCCCTTGTCATGTTTATCCGGTAAGGAAAATTGTTCATTAAGTACTTACCGGCTAAGCGTTTAATAAACTCCCCCTAATTGTTAACTTAGTAGTGACACCCATCACCTTTGCCCACCATCACAAACATATATCTCACATTGGTTATTAAGAAGTAGACAATCATACATCGCCTCTCTCCATTCTTGAAGTATTGGTTTCTTACGTTTAAACCTGTAACTATGCATTCTATCATGACGATTCATAATTCTACATCAATTATGTTCTATTATGGCTTCTAAAAGCAACACCGCTTTACATTTCAAAGGCTACCACTAGAAGTTAGTTTAAGAGTCAATATGAGTAGATAATCCGTCACAAAACTCGTCCAAGATACGTATGGCAGATTTTTAGGTTAGTTATTTAATTATGTTATTTGGTAAATGTTTTGCTTCTTTTATTGGGTTGGTAGATATACGTTGGCAACGTGAATTGTTAAGATTGGATTGTTCGACTTTAATGTTTGTGCCTGATGGAAGGTTATGTTGTCTTTTGGTGATTCAATTTCTGCAGACACTTGGTTGCATCTTTGTAACTAAGACGATGTTTATTACCAACTATGCCCTCGTACCGTCCTTAGAGCATAACACAGTTGGTTCCACCGTGGTATATTTGCATCCATATGTATATGTTCGACTCTCACAGCTTTAACGTGAGAATTACAATTCATTTGGGAATTAGACTCGTTAGTATGGCCACTTTGCTCTTAATCCATCCTCCTAGTAAACGTTGAATACCTAATTTGTCTATCACATGGTCTTAAAACAAGGCGATACAGACTGCCTCAAGGATTATTGGTGATAAACCCTTTGCCTATCAAATGATGCTCTTAAACTTTTTTTTTTTTTATTAACCTGGATATCCAACCTGTCATGCGAGCTGACTAATCCCAGGGCGACCACCTGCTTTGCAGATAGCCCGGAGTCACCGCATTTGAACCTTCGTGGCCACAAGAGGATTTTTATTCTTCATTGGATTTGAACCTGTGACCTTCTGGTACTTTTGACCTTTGGAGCCAAGCTCAAACCAATCAGACACCACCCTTGTGGTTATGATGCTCTTAAACTTATGATCTCTTTGATGGTGACTTCGCCACCTGTTCTAGTTTCCTTCCAAACATCGTAAATATCCTTATTGCGTGTCAGCAATCTAAGTTTCCAACCATCCACTTTCTTCACGGGTGAATATGTCAAAATGTCTCCAATACTTGATTGCTACTACCTACCGAAGTGTCTGTTTATCATCAAATTCGTTCGATTGATTGCTACCAAAACATACCCATTTTTGTGGTTCCATTAAATCATTGAATGTGAATGGTATCAAGATTTCAAGAAACATAGAAAAATATCAATGTAACAAAGCAACCAAAATATGTCTATCAACCCAAAGCCTATGTCTACATCTATACATCACAATACAAATAATTCAAACCAATTTCATCACCACCAATAATTTCCAAAAAATTGGACTCTTTTTGGAAAGGGACCCACATGGCTTTCATTCTTCCATTATCTCTCAGCCCACATTACGGCGGCGCGTGTATTACTTCCATGGCTGCTCCGCCACCCGCCACAGCTTCACTGACTTATCTAAACTACCGCTGTACACCACCCATTCTCGAACACTATTCTCATCATCTTCCGGCTGCTCCTGCACCGCCAAACATTTGACCGGACCGGTGTGTCCGGTTAACACCGAGAGGCATGAGTGGAAGCCGCCGACTTCCCTCCGCCACACACAGATGTTTTTGTCCGCCGATCCACTAAACAACAAGCTCCCTGCGGCGGCGAGACACAGGACTGCTTGCTTGTGACCTCTGATAACACCGCCGTGAGCCAACGTGTGTTTTGGTCGTTCCCAGAAATTCACTAGCCCGTCTGATGATCCGGCGTACACGACGGCTTCCGCCGTGTTCACCGCCAACGCCGTGACGGCGGTTTCCTGGTTTAGTAAACTGTAAAGCATCATATGCTTTGTTTCTTTCCCTACCAACTCCCTCCGCCACACCTTCACCGTTCCGTCGGCGGAACCGGTGAAAACTAGACCGTCAAAACCGACGACGAAGGAATTAATGGCGTCTTCGTGGGCGTGTACGGACTCTAAGCATTTCGAATCCGAAAGCCTCCAAACTTTAAAAGATTTATCCCACGATCCTGAATATAATAACCCTCTTTCTTCATCCAAACTCATGCACGCAACGGCGTCGTAGTGCTTTATCCACGGAACATTGCGTCGTCGTCTTACTTCAATGTAATTATTAGGGTTCAGGGAGCTCTTGATGTAGTCTTTCGTTGTGGGTAAATTACCGACCCGTTTGTAAGCTTTCTTCTTCTTATCCAAATACTTCCAGACCCGAATTTTGCCGTCCTGGTGGCCGGTAAATATCCGATCACCGGAAACAACGATGGTTTTCACTAATCCGCTACTGGATTTAAAACCAGAAAACTCCATAAAATTCTTCCACACCCGAATGTTTTTAGAATCGGAACCTGTGTATAACAAATCACCTGACGACGCTAACGAATAAATATGACCCTCTTCACGCACCAAAGACCCAATTAACCCCGTCGCCGGCATGTCACCGTGACCGTCAATTCCTCCGCCGGCGTGAGCATTCAAAGTAGAAACGTTCCACGGCGATTTCGAAAACGGCGAGGCCTGGTTTAACGGCGACATGAAGTAATTAGCAGGAGATGAATTTGGAGACATGGATGCTTTTGGAAACGCGACGTTGCTATGGCGGTGATGGGAAGTACTGCTACCGGCGTCTTCTTGTTCTTGAACGGTGGTGCTTAAAATGTCGGGTTCAGAATTATGGAAAAGCACACCGAGCTTCTGTCGCCGGTGTGAAGAACTCTTTTCCGGCGACGACGGAACATGATCAGTCGTCTTCTCCTTCGTCATTTCAAGTAAAGATCTTTGCAATCAAAATCAAGAAAAAATGGTGTCTTGATTGCTTGAATGATTCAAAAGGATCGAAAGGTGTTGTTATAGATAAGATTAAACAGATTGAAACAGCCACAAGTGAAATTTGAAATCCATGAGAAGAGAAGATGAAGATACATTTATAGAGGATTTGTAGTAAAGCAAGATGAGATGAGATGAGATGCTTCGAACCTTCGCATCCACATACTAACCGGGTTGTTTTAAATTGAATATTATATAGCGTATTTTATAATTTATTTCCATTATTATTTTTAGAAAAAAAAAATACACCATGTTTTCATTAAACAGAAAAGTATTATAATACACTCCTACCAAACATTTATCCGGATAAACGCTTATCAAGGGGTTGTTTGTTTACCTCTTAATAGTTCCATTAACATGCAACCTCTAAATCGTTAAGAGGCAAATCTTGTTTGGCGAAAAAAAAGTTTGTCTCTTAATGGTTCTAAAACCCTCTGAATGATTTTGTATCAAGGATCTCCCTTAACCATTAAGAGCCATAATTTCATTGTACATAATTATCAAACAATTATATTTTATTTTACACTATATCATGAGAGCCTCTTAATAATTCTGACCACTTAATTGTTTTACACCAAACCATTTAGTAATTACCATACATCCCCCAAGTCACATTATCTCACCGGATGAATATGGTAAGGACTAAGAATCTTATCCGGTAAGAGCGAGACAAGGACCATGAGTCTTACCCGATAAGTGAGGGTGACGACTCTTACCATGGTAAGCGCTTACCGGATGAATTGTTACATACAATGTCGTTTTGATGGATTAATATCTTACCCGGTAAGTAAATAATAGTGTTACATTTTACCGGTAAGCACTTACCGGATACGTGTTTGGTAAACAACCCCTAAGTGGCAAAAATAAAAATATTACCAAAAAGCCTTTGTCCTAGTGGTATGTAAGTCTTTGGCCTCGTAAAAGGTCAAAGTTTAATCTTTACCAAATGTGAGGAGGGTGTGAAGAGGTATATTTGTTTTATTTGTCATATATAAAAAAAAATTATAAACTATATCAGAAATAAGTTATCTATTTATTGGGTTATTAGAGCATATCCAATAGATTCTTAATATTTAAAATCTTTAAAATTTGTGTTTTTCTATACTTTTAAGATTATAATATTAATTATATTATTAAAATATTTATACATTTAATAAAATATTATTTTTTTCTTAAAAACATTTCAAAATTTCTTATTGGTAAAATATATTTTAAAAAATTGGTTATATTTTTTGAGAATTCTCAAAATTTGGAGGAATTTCATACCCGCTTTCATATTTTTCCTGTTTCGGATAATATTTGAAGTAAAAAATTATTCAAAATCCTCATTTTTTTATTTTAAATAATCTGTTAGAAATGCATTTAGATTATAATCATGTGTTATTTAATTTCTTCTTTCAATTATATATCTTTTTTATTTACTCGTATTGTAATATATATGTAAATGGTATGTTTTATATTAAATATGTTATTCCGTTTTAAATCATTAACATTTTAAATAATAAACTAAAATGACATAAAATATCATATATATATATATATAATTTATAATATGACATTAACAAATAGATTTGGTGTCTTGTGAGACAAGATTGTTTTCGTAAGACACGTGAGATAACATTTTACACTTAAAACTTCACAGCATGTGAAAGTTCGAATTTTTTTTACCTTCACAATATTTTGTTTTGTTTAAAATATGAAATTTCAATAAGCTAAACATATTTATATTTTATTCATGATATAAATATCAAAACAAATGCAACATTTACTTTATTTACATTTTGTATTTTATTCGGACTTAAATCAATTAATAAAGGTTTAATCGTTGAAAATGTAGTTGAAGGTGTTATTATTATTATACGATGAGGTGTAATTACATGGCGTGTCCGCCCTTTCCCTTTTGGGAATTAATTTTGACTTTTGAATTTTATTAATTGATTTGACTTTCTTTGCAACGTTTGGTGAACAATTGAATTCCGTGAACTTCTATTTGGCAACCTCTTGAAAGTTTGTTTGAATGCGGCACTTCCGTCATCGGCCGGCCGGCGCCGTTTTACTGTTCCGTTCATATCATCAAAAAGGTTCAACTTGTTTGTATGATTATATTTTTAATAATATTTATTTTAATATTTTAATAAATAAACAACAAACTTTTTATATATTTATATTTTTAAATTTTTTTTTAAATAATAATATAATTTTTTTAGAATAAAATGATCCATGATGCTATAAACACGTGAAGGCATTTTAGCCCGTGTTTGACGACTCTAAATTAAAGTACTTTTCTTCTCTAATGAGAATCAATATATTAAGACATAATTTGTTATTGTTTTATCAATAAAATTAAGATATAACTTATTGTTTTCTTATTAATAAAATTAAGACACATCAGATTTTTATTTATTTTAAATTTATTTAATTTATGTTATCTGATAACGTTTCTTCATATGGTTAATTTTAGGGAGGTGATTTTTATCCAATGAGAAGCTTCCACCAATTGGTTAGATTACTTTCGCATTGTGCATTTCGAAGACTTGGGAAGAAAACATTGCTCAATCATGCACGTGAATATTCTATTATACTAATAGGATCAATGATTATTTCGTATTTGATTACTATTTAGTTTTAATATATATATATATATATATATATATATATATATATATATATAACTTGGGATCATATGAGAACAATGATTTTTCGTGAGATCTGTAAGACCAATTCTTAACCATTGGATTAGATCTACAATCGTCAGATCTGAACATTCATAAACGCCACGAGACTTCTCAATAATTACAAAATTGTCACCGTACAATTTTAGACCATTAGATCATTAGCTTATAAAGTTGATCAATGAATATAAATTGGTCTTACGGGTCTCACGAAAAACCCTTGGTCTCACGTAAACCCAACCATATATATATATATATATATATATATATATATATATTAGAAGGGTATTCGTATAATACAGTGAGATACATTTTGATTTTAATGTTTTGTGTGTTTTTTTTTTTTGTCTCAATCAATGTTATAATAGAATTTTATATGGTTTTGAAAAAACGATAATGTTTTTATTTTTAAACAAGATATAAATATGAAGACATCATAAATAATTGGAATTTTTTTTTGATATTAATACAAAATTAACTATTTAATTTTTTTTTTGTGTATTTATTTAATTCATTTTTTTATCTTCGCTTTAATAATATATTTTTCTATAAAGATAATAATTAAGTATTTTGTTAGAAAATTCAATGATTATCCTAATCATATTTTATATTTAAAATGAGATATTTATCCCCTAGATTATGTTTATCTGCAGTTAGTTACACGAATTCAAACATGAAACTTTAATAAGTTGTACTTATGCACAATTCACTTGTAATCTTGAATTTTAAGTAATATATGTATTAATAAACATTATTTCATGTATAAAAAATAATTTTTAAGAGTTTTTATCAAATGTTTTATAATATATATGTGTGTGTGATAATTTTTTGTAAATCTGAAATTTAAAAATTGTGCATTAATAAATAATATTTAATAAGTTTTTTTAAAAAAAGACTGGGGGTTTATCAAGTCGTTTTTTAATATTTTTACTGAATTCTTTTAGTATAATGTGAAAAAGAGATAGAGATTGTGATTTAAAAAAGAAATAAATAATGAAGTAATTAAAGGTGACATAATCAGGACGTACATACGGCAGCAGTCAAATAGAACGTCAATAACGTTGACTAACTAATTTTGTTTTTGGTGAGTCACACAATTATAATTTATATAAGGATGGTAACGCATCTGGGTTTATAACCAACGTGTCAACATAAATATTTAATTCATTCGTTTTCTTTATACTAATTTACTTTCTTGGTCCCTATAGTTTACACGTCATAACGTTTCAAGTCTTCTTTTTTAAAATAACTAGAAAGATACTCGTGCAATACAGTAAGATAAATCTTCATTTTAATGTTTAGTTTTTATTTTGTCTCTACGATTTTAAGAGTTTTTTTTGTCAAATGAAATATAAATTTGAAGATAAAATAAATCGATATTAGTATCAAATTAACTATTTAATAGTTTTCGTTTTTTTGGTGTAACTTCTTTAATTCAATTTTTTATTATAATTTAATTTAGATTTAATAACAAAGTAATTTATTTTTGGTTTAATAATATAATTTATATAAAAATAATAATTAAACATTCTGTATAACTCAATTATTATCTTAATTATATTTTAGATTTTCTATATTTAAAATAGATGTTTGTCATGTATTTGATTATGCAGATTATTATACGAATTTAAAAATGGAGCTTTAATAAGTTTTACTTATTCCAAAATTACTTTGAATCGTGAATTTTAAATAATATGCATCAATAAACAATACTTCATGCAAGAGTTTATATCAAATGCTTTATAATATAGTATAGATTATGGATATGAGTTTTTTGTATGCATTTTATACCGTCTTTGATCTCTCGCTCTTATTCAGTTGAAAATTTTAAATTCAATAGCTTAAGTAATGGTGTGAGGTATTTTGGTAGTGTTACCCATTTTACTCATTATTTGTTAGAAAAAACATTATCAGATCCAAATTAAATGTCCCTCCTTTCTTTATGTACAGTCGGAACTCGGAGGATGCGACAAGATGCAGGGGGGACGGTGGTTGCGAGGAGGCAATAGTGGCGGGTGGTCGATGTACCATTTGCTTTTGGTTTAATCGTTGAAGAATGAAGGATGGGAGGAACAACGCGAAGGGGAAGGAGATGGAACTCGATGGTGGTAGGCAATGGCAGAGTGGTCGGTCCTGTATCCAGATCATTAGGCAAGAAGATAGGGTTTCTCCGGCATTGGGAATGGGGTTTCACCGAGTATATATGCTCATATGTTCTATGTATACATAATAATATTTTTAATATAAAGTAAGAAAATGGTATAA